TCTCTCTCTCTCTCTCTCTCTATTTATCTATTTATCTATCTATCTATAGCTATCTATCTAGCCATCTATCAAGTTATATGTTTATATACCTGCCTATCTATCTGTCTTGCTTGTCAACTAGCTAGCTAATCAGCTAACTATCTACACATGTATGTATGTACATTTATCTAGCTATGAAAGAGCAGTCTATAAAGAGAAGAAAATAAAAAGGAGGGTGGGTGGTCTGATTATGAACCATTTAATTTCTGATGTGCTTTTACGAAACATGAAAAAGTCTCCTTGTATACAATCGCCACGCTCAGCCTACTATTCTGGGGTTGTTGTTTTGTTTTCAGGCTCACAACTTTCGATATGCCAAGTCAGCCCCGCCCCCTCACTCGCCATCGTACTGCTCCCGTCGGTTTTCCGTCAATTCTCAAGCGGGCCGAATGTTACACGACAAGAAGCTCTCGGAGCACGAACTTCAGCGACTTATTCGACGAATTCGGCGTCCCACCAAGGCGTACCAGCTTTCTCGGAAGGATTATGAGACGGACGACGAGCTTTCAATACCCCATAGCCGACGTCCATCGACGGCCGCTCCGTCTCGACGCAACAATATGTCTGCATCCGAGAGGAAAAAAGCGTTCTCTCAGCTGTCACGACCGACGACGGCTAGTAGAGGTAAAAGCGTCGTAGAATGTCACCTGTGCACTGAAGAGGACAAAGAACTCAACCACACTCTCTTGCCTTTCGACTACCCGTACGCCGACGACAGGAGTGTCACCATAGAGGAAGTCGGAAGCATCATCACTAGGGTCAGTTCTCGGACACAAGCAAGCGAAAAAGGCGCAACTCCGTGTTGGAAGGCTCCACCCGACTACCGCCGTCTACGCATACAGTCAGAGCATCTACCGCTGGTCAGTGGTCTCGGCAGAAGCAAAAGCGTCGCTCAGATTGTCGCCAGGCTGCATTCAAGCAAGGGTAACAGCCGCAGACAGCATGGCTGCACTCCACAAGCAACCGCTGTGACAGATTTCTGTGTTTGATGAAAGCTCATCTCTGACTTCTGACAGAAATAGTATGCAATCTTACGCACTGCAGGAAATATAATATTATGTGAGGCAGCGTGGTGGAATCAGGCTCTCGTCAAAATAATCATAGTGAAGAGACTTGCATTTTTACGCAGGTTTGTGAATTTGTATCAAAATTTTGTTTTTCGGCTCAACACCTTCCATCTCCATTAAAGAACTCATTTCTGTTCTGAAAAAAGATTAAAGGCACAAAAAATGTAAATTTTCTGTTACCACGGACTCTTAAGCTAAGGAAATAACTAATCTTTGGCGGCCATTTTCTCGCTAATTTTACCTCTGAAAACAGGTGACCCCCACCTCAGACATTCACAAATATCTCGACTTGTATTCAAGATAAACGGATATATTTTTCAGTCAAATAAAGACAAGTGAACAAGCTTTAAGATGATACCAATAACTCTACATGCCCAAAAATTGACGAGAGCCTGATTCCACCACGCTGCCTCACATATGTACATTTGTTACCCCAGTCCCACATGGTTCATGACACCCGTCGGTAATCTTTCAATTAGTGGCGTTGGATAGTAAAAAAA